TAAAATATCGGCTTTCTCTTTTTATCCCTTACTGAGTTATATAAGTTTATTCCAGAAAATGTTTGAGTCTAAAATGATGGTACGGTGAAAATATTATATATATTTAGTTCAGGGTTTTACCGTTTACTCGATGTCATTATATACATAAAAATGTATATCCAACTTTCATTATCAATCATTTTAGCATCAGAAATTTGGCATCGCTGTTGAATATAATATTACCCACAACGAAATAGTAAATTTAAAAATATATATATTTTTTTCATCCATAAATCATTCTGGCATCATGTATCTTCGCTCCAATTGGTCCAGTCGTGACGTACAGTATCTCAAATGATAGGATTTAACCAATAAAATACAATAAGACAGAAAAATCAAATACAGCAGCATGTCAAAAAGGCCTTAGTTATATATCTTCGTTTCTATAAGTCCAATCGTGACGTACAGTATCTCAAATGATAGGATTTAACCAATGGAAAACAATGAAATAGAAAAATCGGATACAGCAACATGCCAAAAGGGCCTTAGTTGTGTATCTTCGGGTCTATTATTCTAATCATGACGTGCAGCACCTCAAATGAAAGGTTTTAGCTAATAAAATACAATAAGGTATAAAAATTAAATGGAGTAGCATGTCAAAAGGGCCTTAGTTATGTATCTTCGGTCCTATTAGTCCAATCGTCACGTACGATATAGCAAATGGTAGCACTTAACTAATAGAATACAATGACTTAGAAATCAAATACAGCAACATGCCAAAAGGGCCCTATTTACATATCTTCGTTTGTAGTGGCACAATCGTGACGTACAGTACCTCAAATGATAGGATTTAACCAATCAAATACTATGAGACAGAAAAATAAAATACAGCATACATCAGCCTGTCAAAAGGGCCTTAGTTATGCATCCGCGGTCCTGTTAGTCCAATCGTGAAAGGGCCTAGTTATGTATCTTCTATCCTATTAGTCCAATCGTGACATACAGTACCTCAAATGATATCATTTAACCAATAGAATGCTACGACGTAGATCAAATACAGCAACACGTCAAAAAGACCTTAGGTATAAATATTTGCTCCTATATATGCTACGTCAAAAGAGCCTTAGTTATGTATCTCCTGTCCTATAGGTCTAATCATGACATATGGAGCCTAAATGATAAGATTTAATGGAGATAATACGATGGTGGAGACAAAGTAAACATGGCGGCATGTAATATCACGGTAAACTGGCAGCAATAAAACGTAATAACCCACAGAGGTCTATGGCATATTACGTGACAGAATTTAGCGAATAGCATATGATTTGCATACGTCTACTTTTAGTCAACTACTGTACATATGATAAACGCGAAAAAGTTCCAACATTCACTGTTAGACATATGCCTCCCGTTCACTGCACACATTTACTGCTCCTTGACGCTGTGACGTAAATTGGATAGGATTTAACAAATAGAATGACAGAAAATTAAATAAGACAGTGTGTCAAACGTGGAATGCATCGTAGAACGTGAAATATATAATATACATTTAAGAATATGAAATAATACACCATTTAAAAAAAATGACGTTAGTTGAGGCAGATCAGACCAGAAAAAAATGTCAACATTTGCAGAATACTTAGCTAGTATTTTTAAAATATACCAACCAGATAATAATAATCAAGCAATAGAACACTGAAAACTTTTGTTTTTAACTGTACGCCCATGAATGACTAGCCATTTTTAAATACCTTTTGATATTGCTTTTTTTTATTGTATTTTTCCCATTTTTCAAGATAATTCTTGTAGGGATATATTTATTTATAACATACGGTCTTATGGTATTACGAACAGTATTACGGCTTTAATTTGTACCACACTGCTAATTGAGAACTATGTTTGTAATGCAATAAGAGGTCCTGATATACGAGACACCAGTGACTCATGCCCCACTGATACAAATCCGACAGGAATATGCATTTCTATAAAAACAATAGATTATTTGTTTTGTGTATTAATTAAGTTTAGGTAAACGAACAAGACTTGCATTATAAAAGATTTTTCTAAATGTAGAATGTAAACCATATTTCGTATGCTTTGTGAAAGAGAACCAGTTTATAACATTCCGGACGACGCAAAAATACTTTTTTATTAGAATATTGGTCGATGAATTATAATCATAGTTTAAAAAACGAATTTATGTGCATATGGTCTACTACAAAAAATGTAAAACCAAAATCTTGATTAAAAAAGTGGCAACCGGTTACTTATAATGAAATTTACCCCCATTATTGATTTCACAAGTGAAAAAATGTGTCAACAAAAAACCAGTTTTAATTATTACAATATTTCAACATAATAGTTTTATCTTGGTTTAATCAGGTGAAAAGAAAAATTATACACAAGTGCTAAAACCACAAGCTATTCTCGATTATAACTTGGTGAAAAAGAGTGTTGATTTTAGTAATCAAATTGCTTCTTACCAGAACCCAATATCCAAAATTCTGAAGTGGTACCGGAA